GTAGATTCTCAAAAAACTTTTACGCTCAGCTTCTTTGTTGAACGCAAACACACAGAAAACTTGCCATTTATTATTATTATTATTATTATTATTATTATTATTATTATTATTATTATTATTATTATTATTATTATTATTATTATTATTATATTATTATTATTATTATTATTATTATTATTATTATTATTATTATTATTATTATTATTATGTGTAAAATTACACACGAAAACTCTCTCAGTGCTAGACACACAGACGTTGTACCGTGCTCTAAAAGGGAACACCATGCGGCGAGTCTGATGTTGACTTTACAATTCCGTTTCCTGAATGGCAATAACATCGAGATCATGTTCAAGCAACCAACTACTTAATTGATGCTGCCATCATCAATTGATGCTGCCATCATCGAGCGGCGAGGCCCCTGACATTGAGAGTCGCAACTCTTAATTCTGCCTCGACGCTCATAGCTATTAGGACGTGAATAGTGATCTCGGCTACACAACTCTCACCTCTGATAACCATCAGGTCCATGGTTTCATTGAGTTCAATAGACCCCTTTTCTTTTGATTACGAGAGTATAGCGTCGCGCACCATTCATGCAGCACTTTATGCGCACATTGTTAATGTGCTTCATTTGTTGATGTCACTATACCAGTTAAATACTATGGTCACATGTTCCAGACCCCCGCCTCACCGGGGCTGTTGGTCTGAAGGTGATCCCGTTCAAGGCCCCTGCTGCTGATGATCTGTCTGTTGTTGCTGATGTGTTTGGCTGCAGTTTTTGTTGTGTCGGTAGTTGCTGAACTGGCTGCTGCTGTTGCGGCGGCGGTTGTGTCTGTTGCAACTTGGTTGGTGGGTGGGTCTCAGCTATTCGACGTTCGCATTTTAGGTGCTGGTCTACGGCGCATGTTATTTGCCGTAGCCGGCGTTTCCTCCAGGGCTTGCATTGCATTTGCCTTCTTGCCTTGCACCTCTTCCCTGGTCTTTTTGCAAGCAAGTGTTGGATGTGTCCATGTTTTCCAGCCTTCCACCTTCTGCTGCAAGCGCCGTGATATTTTGTGCACTCCTCGTAGATTGCACTTCTTTTGCAGGTCCTTTGTCTTTGTTGGCAGTCGAACCAGCGCTTGCCAGGCGTGCCGTATACGGGACGTTAAGCTGGGTGTTGGTTTGTCCCGACGCGCCTATCAGCTCTTCTACTTCGGCCTCGTTCATGTGGTGTTCGGAAAGTTCTTCACTCCCCACGAAATCTGCTACACTTGCATATGTTCGCGCACCGCCACTCTCACCATGCCCAAAACGCCGACACACTGCGCAACGCGGGGCTCGGCAATCCCCGCTAATGTGGCCTGTTCCGCGACAACGCAGGCATATCGGTGCCCTTCCCGCGACGACAACCAGCGTGAGGTCTGCGGCATTTCACAACTCATGTGAAAGGTTGTCCACCGTGACGCCAGCTTTGAGCTTGAGGCTCAACACTCGTGTCGAAAAACCTTAGTATGACCCTAATATGTGCATCCACACACGCGCCAGCGTTCTCGTACTATTTCGTTCACCTTGCCACAAGGTGCCACCATGCCCCCACGTCGTCGTCAGGAACGTTAAAGAATAGCCAATGAATCTTCAGCCTCGTATTCTGGTGGCTTGGGTCAATAGCGATAACACGCTTGTTCTTTCCCGTTATGTCCCCAGCAGCAAGTGTTTTCTTCTTGCCCTCCGCATTCTTGAATGTGAAGGCCCGAACATGATTGATTTAGAGCTCCCCAAGGCAGCCACATCTGGGAGCAAAGCCAAACGAATAAGAGCATCCCTGAAATCCTCGACGCGGTACGGCTGCGCCTTGATATCAGCGTAAAAAAACAGTATGCAGCGTTGAATTACTTGTTGGCAGTCGGGGCAAAATAATCTGAGAATCCTGGACGATTCGTCCATGTTCCTGTTACCGCGACCATGCTGGTTCACTGATACGACTCCGATATCGCCGGAGCTTATGCCGCCACGTCCGTGCACTACAGTGGCCGCAAATGCAATAATACTCGGCTACCAGCACAGCACAGGAAGCACTGTTTAGAACTTGGTTCACTGACTACTGCAAATGATGTTTAAAAATTAATTATGACCATCGCCGTGCCCTTCTTTTAGCACTAGTGGCCCCGTGATTCGAACCAGTGTCCTTTCTGCTTAAACTTGGACACCTTACCAATCCGGGCTTGACAACGTTGTTTAAAAGTTGGTCTGTGTATTCGCAGCCCATTCTTCAATATTAAACGCATTCTTTTAGAGTCGGAGCCTTGGCGCGCACAAAGTTTCTTGGCCTCCTTGAAAAAAGAGATTATGCAGTTTTTTAGAATCACAAGTTTTGTGATTCGTTGGGAATTACTTAGAGTGGTCACAAAAGAGATTTATTTGTGATTTCGCACCGATATGGCAACGTCTTTGCAAAACATTAGTATGTCACTTTTTTAAATATGCTAGTAGGCTGACAAAATTGATTCGCTAACTACTTTTCTCCGAACAGGGTGTTCGGCACCGCCACCTACGCCACCAGAATTTCTGCAAAACGAGCTCTTTAACACTGCCGCGTTAAAACGTGTCTACATAAATGGCCATCGCGAACTTGCCCAAACAAGATTACCAGCCGTGATAAATGAGTGACTGATAAGCTACCTATATCCACAAAAAAAAAAGTTCGGCATATCCCACGTACCTGGGACTCGGCGTTATGCAAAGCATGCGGAGGGAAGGTAAGCATGTTGCAATATTTTTATTGAGCGACCAAGTCATGATATGACGCTAAATATATGTACAAATGTTGCACGCACAGACATGTGTTAAGGAGTTGCAGATGTTTATAGAACCAGTTGTTTGCACTTGCACAACGATGCCAACTGGAACATGCGTATTAGCAACGCCCGGAAACTTATATGAAGCGCTGATAGGATGCTTACCCTGGACACTGGTACATAAATCAACTTCAGCGCATGGCAACTATCTACATTGACGGTAACCCAACGTGACGGCTGTATCAAAGCAATACATAGGTAATGTTTATAAAATTTAGTAGACACCACTGCAACCACTGTTGTCGCTTTGTGAAAATTAGCGTCTATTTGAAAAGTAGTTCCGAGACCTGGCGTAGCTCTGTGGTAGAAAGTTTCATTGCTCCGCAAAATGGTTGGGTTCGATTCTAGCTGGGACCCTGACATTTATTCTTCGCATTTGTTTGGTCGACGCTGCCGACGTCGAGTATTTCTTAACGCTCGCGTGTTATAATTGCCCATGTCTGTTCACGTCGTTCCTGGGTACATACAAGTGTCAATCACCAGAGGCACATAGCCGCATACTAGCGGCATATACCCGCCCATAGGCATGTGCCATAGTCTGGCGGGGTGTACGCGACGGAATCCTTACAATATTCATGTCTTGATTAGTGCGTCGTCAAATCATCTTACGTCCCATGGTAATTTTGGTTCATGCGAAGTTAAGGGGATGACCACGAGAACACCCAAACGTAAGCGGCTAGATAGATACGTTCAATGTCGCCGAAGTTCGCTAAGAAATGATTCGCATTTGAAAAGAAGTGCAAACGTTTTGTGCCAATGTTCCTATAAAACCGCGATCAGCAATGGGTCATCTGCAAAAAGAGATTTATAATCAACTAAAATTGATCAGCGCTAGAACGAATAAGAAAGAAGAGATTAAGACAGGATAGGCGCTGTACTCTCAACTGGACCCTGTACAGCAGTTCTCTTGGAGTCCATACTAGTAATTCAAAAGCCTTTTTTGTTTTGCATATTCGCGAGGCTTTCTTGCTCGTTAAGTTATGAGCATCTAACCTTTTTATATTGATGGCATAATCAGCCATTGACCCTTACGCCTGCTTCGGCCACAGCTTCTCCATTATTTTAATTAGGCTTCATTAGCTGCGTAATGAAAATTTCGGAGCTGGAAAGAAAACTCATTGCCATGTTTTGGCATATTACACTCGAACACCAGCGGCTGCTGCGTCACTAGATATCAGTTACGTTGCTCAAAGTGAGGGGACAAGCAAGTAGCCAAAAGTGAGCCAAGAAGACAACTTTTTTGTGACCACTGGCCTAAAAAAAGGGTGACGAATTGGCTCAATATAGCCAAACCTGGTAACTCTGCTTGCGAGGCACCACCCAAAGCTTTCCTGTATGACTATGCAGTCATACAGAAAAGCGCTTGCAACTGTCTCAGCGGTGATGTTCGCAATAGGAATGGCCTTCGACCAGCAGGGGCATCTGTCCACACATGTCAGCAGGGAAATCTGTGCGTGGCAATATGGCAGTGGGTCGGCAATGTCCATGTGAACATGATCAAAGCGAGAATACGGCGTTTTGGAATTTCCCAGGGCTGTCGAGGTGTGACGCTGTATCTTGGGGCGTTGGCAAGCTACGCATTCTCGAGCCCAGTGTCGTACGTCCTGATTATTGCGTGGCCAGACAAACCTCGCTATCACCAGCTTTTGAGTGGCTGTGGTCCGTCTATGAAAAAGTTTTTGCAATGACTCGATGACGGAGGCTCATAGGCAGGGGCGTACCCAAAAAGGTGGGAGGTTCCTACCCCCATTCCCGATTTTTTTTTTCAAATTTCACTTGAGTATATATTGTTATGTGGTGAACTGACGGGTAGTGGGATACTAGCAGAGGAAAGCCGCAGGACAGACAACGAGGAAGACGAAGTGTTGCAGAACAGTGAAGCTGGTGCCAGATTAAAGCCGTGTTAAAGTGTATTTCGCTTTTGCGTCTTTAGTGGCCGTTACAATATACATGCACACATAAAAACACATGTACGAACATACATAAGGTATGGTGGAAGCCCCCCCTCCCCCTAAAATATTTCTGGCTAAGCCTCTCCTTGCTCAAGTTTTTTAAATATTATGCACTACATTTATTACCATTGCATTATTGATAATAAAATTTTACGTGTTCACAATCATACTGAGAAGCACAACTGACCGAAATTCCCCTCATACAACCTACCTGCCATAAACCTTTTTAGCGGCTGCTTTCTCAAGGGCGCTGTCAAGGATGTCCCCGATTTTTTCTTCATGTTATCCAACTCTTTCTGCGCCTCCTTCAGGTCTTCGTCTGAACACGGCTTTCCTGGACTGTCAATGTGGTTTACTTCAGAGGGCTGTAACAATGGATTGTAAAGCACAGATCCAATTCAGACTACCATTTAAAAAGTGACAGTATAGCTAGTATCGGTACACAGAGATAGGCAAACAACTTCACTACACTGGTGTCATTCAACCAGCCCAAATTCCTCGTTGTGCACCTTACATTTCTTATTTTGCTGATAGTGTTTAAGCGGTACGATCCTAAAACTGTGAAAAAAAGAGAATGGGAAGAATAATTTTGGTTTCATTGCTTCCAGTCTTCTTTTTTTTTTTACACGAAAGCTTCATGCCAGGGTTGACCACGCCTCCGTTTACATATTTCCGTCACGGATATGACGTTGTAAAATACGGCCAACAGATTGCAACAAAAAGAATTGTTGCAGCAGCAATCAATTTTCCACCGCTACTGTGAAACAATGCACAATAAACACTCAACTGCTTCTGCGAAAGCACATTTCATTCTCGTGTTATACCGATTCCTAGAGAGAGGGATCAGCCACGTTTTTTTTTTTTTAGTAAGTGCCTAATAATATTGTATGTCACAGTCACACGGGGTGCCTGCTTTGACAGTCGAAACTAATTAGCAGCAAATTTTCACTTGCCGTTCAGCTGCACCGGCACTTTCTTAACTTACGCAACCGAGTCAATCACGATTTTAAAAAAAATAGTGCGACCGGGTTGCATCATGCTCAAAAATGCCCTTGCCAAGGGCGGCTCCCCAGTTATTGAGTCATAACGAATACACCCATGAACAATTGACACCTGGTTGTGATTCGCATAACAGGGTGTGTACAATTCTTACCATGAGTAACGTCCCAGTTACGAATTTTGGGCACTCCAAGTAACCAATAAGCTATTTTTGTAAAAACTGCCGACTCACTGACTGCACTAGGTTCGTGACCCTACAAAAACTGTAATCCTTTGACAGGTGAGGCTGTAAATTCATTACTACGAAGGTTTTAGCTTCCGAATCAATATATATATATATGTAACCATTCTGGATAATAAAGTAAATTTCCAAAAAGGGCTAGCAATCTTGTAGCTCACCTCGTCAGAAAGTAGTGATGTGACAACGCTTTCCTGCGCACTTGTTGCCGTCTTTTCTTCGGCCGATTCAGACGTCGTGGTTGACTCGAGGCTGGTAGATGTGTCATGCAATGTAGCACACATTACTATGAGAATACACGTACTTTATGACATAGTGCGCTTTTACTAAGTCACATAGTACACACAAGATATATAAATATATATATATATATATATATATATATATATATATATATATATATATATATATTGTTTTCTTCTTTCTTTTTTATGACTGTTTGCATAAGCGGCGTGTGCGAAAGCCTCAGAAAGTAATTATGTGTACGTAGACGAATAAACTTTGGAGCGTAATATAATAAATGTGAAAAGTCTACGTTCAGACAGCTTGTTATTTATAGCTCACGAAAGACTAGATAGCGCTTTAAACTTGACCAGCAGCCAGTCTCTGTCCTTATCGATTATCTCTTAATTCTAAATGCATCGTACCGCGACGGCGCACACCACTTTGCGCTCGATATACCTACGCACAAGCTTCTATCCTGTGTTTAGTTTTTCGAGACTCAACACGCACACAACGCAAGCTACAGAACTGTGTGGCACTTACTGTTTTGTGTTTGACTATATATGGATATAAAACATTCCGCGCTAAATCGCGCGAATGAGTAAAACGATTTCACGGAAATATCCAAAGCTCTTACGAGGTGTCGCTGTCGCTGTCCAAGTCACCTTGATGAACATCTGTTCTCAAGTTTTTGCGAGGCAGTGGCAATGGGCAGTCTGCCGAGTCTAATGGAGGCGGTGGCACATGATCAAATAGGCCTCCTTTGATCTCGTCTAAGCCTGGACTGACTGCGTCGTGATAAAAAGAATCAGTCAGTTTTGTCCTTTTTTATACCAAAATGTGGTAAGATTGTTCATATAAGGGAAGTGTGAATGAAGTCTATGCCGTTTTATGTCTTCTTATTGGGACATGCAATGTGCATAAGTAGGCGAAGCTATACTCGGTGACAACTTTCTGTGGCAGCACAGCCAAAGCTACGTGGGCAGAGCTTATGCACATGGGTTACTACGCCAAGTAGTCCGTTTACATGCGATTTAGGTTTCGGTTTAGCAAACACGTCCAACGCGTTTATTTTCTTTTTTTTTTTTGCACGACTATCATTCAATGAATTTTCCATTCTTTTGGGAGGAAGTAAATATAATGTTCATTTTTAAGGGAAAGAAAACAAAACTTTTTGAAGACGCGAGCTTTTCAGAAAGAAAAGAAAGGTACGGCCGAGCATGTACTGGGTGATTGCAACAACGCCAAGCCAAGAAACCATTTTCTAAATTTCAGTGCATACTTGGTCGGCCTCATTGTTTTCCTTCTTTTAGAGACGCAAGAACTTTCTGGAGACACTCGGGTTTAGTTTGTAGGGGACGCGAAGGCAACCATGAGAAGCAGACTTCTTGGCACCGATCGGTCATGAGCGGGCATCTGTCGATCGTAAATCTAAGTGGGTGAAACGTAATCTTTACTCGGCCGAGAACGCTGTTTTTGCACAGTCAATGGGTTAATATACATGAACGCGTCTGTTGCCCAGGCAAAGCGCAAGGAACGACTCCCTCCATATAGGCTGACGGGAGCAGTATTACGGCACGCGATCTTCAGCGTTGTCTTATCAGCAATATTAGGCAGCCGAAACTTCGGTCACGTATGCACTTCAATTTAGGAACAGGCTCATTGGTTTAACGTACAGTTTCCAATCGCAGTTTTTCTTCAAAGCAGCTGGTGTTGCTGAAGGCTGGCAGGTCGCTGGTGTCACTTTCAAGGCGGCTATAGTGATTAGAGTCCCACTTTACTGATAATATCACATCGCACACAAATTCTCGGTGATTCCATGTGCGGGAAAGAAAATATTTCACAACGCACCACTCTCTTTGTTTCTCCCTGCTCGATGAATACAGATCACCTAATGAATACGCACTCATGCTCGCTTACAAGCTCCGATGTAAACTTGCTGCAACCGAGCAACGTCATATAGTTGTGTACCAGGGCAGAGAAAATGTTAAAACGCACTAGAAAACCACAAACTAGAAACAGAAATGAACAAAGAAAACCTGTACGGTTGATGCTTTCTAATAATAATGCAGATAATCTTGAAGATAATATTTACACCCTCCCTTTTTGTATTTTACATTAAGCTACACAGTATACAAAAGTTGGCGTTCGCGGACAACATGCAGAAGCATAGTGAAAAAGAGTTTGTATAGGGCGTGATATCTATGCGTTAATATCTGAAGGATTTCTATGCCTTGTAGCCTTAGCTGTGCTGCCACAGATAGTTGTCGCCGAGTATCGAGACGTTATATAGACATGACATAGCAAGTGTGAAGCGGCACAGATGAGTTATTGATTGAGTTATCTTAAGCTAACTCTCAAGAAAAGGAAAACTGAAGACTTGATTCAGGCCACGAAAGCACGTGAGACGAATTGAAAGCGAAAGAGGAAATGGATTATGCAAGGAGAAAGTTAACTTCGATAGTTCTTCAGTGCATACCATATTATATTTACCTAATTAGGACAGTTGATCATCTCACTTTGGAAGCACTGCAAACACATTGTAGTGCTCTGCGTGATTTCATCACACTCTTCTACTTCACTTAGGATGAGGTAAATCAAGTCATTCCGTATTGAGGCATTTGTCTCAAGTCCCAAGACCACACAGTCTTGAGACCAATCATTTCCTGACACAGCAAAATGATTTGTTTCCAAATTGTGACATTCTCAGGCAGACAACTCATATATGGTCACACATTCGTCAGTTGTGTCGTCATACCTTCATCATAATCAGAGATAACGCGCCAGCCTGGTGCTGGCCGCCGCTGGCACCCGCACTCCCCGGTCTGGTTCGTAAGCCTTGTTCACGAAGTATTCGCTGAGATTCTTGGGCCTTGACCGCCTGTGGTAGGAACAAAGAACAGCTTGCGTAACCTTCAGTTCTACATTTTACAAGCGCTGAGGGCGAGGTTGCCAAACTCAAATAACTTCGTCTGCGTTTTCCAATGAAAATCTCCCGACTTTGCTTCTTTGGTGAAAACAAAGAGTTATTGCATTTTTCATATACTGATGGGAAAACTTGCTGTCAATAAGCTCCTCAGCATGGTTCGGTCATTGTCTGGCAGTAAGATAAAAAAAATGTGCAAAGGACAGCACTGCTGTAACGAAGCTGAAATAATCAAATAACCAAATGGTAGGCAAGCTATTTTGTGCAATGATTCTATGCGCATACATAGTCCGACTTCAAATTAAATTTCAGGGCTAATTCACGGGCCCTGACTGAGCGTGTGACATTCCAAACTGAGAATACTTGCGGCACCCACCTGTTGTGTATAGCATAGCTAGGAGGATTAGAAACTCTTGATAAGAAGGTTACTTTGCTCCTACAACTACACTAGAGGAAAAGATTTCTACACTTAGTGATGCCGTAGTCCAATGGTGCTACTAATGAGATGTCGCCGTGCTACGAGCAACTTCACGTGCGGCAACGATACGTAACTTCGCCTAAACCTAAACTGAGCAAACTTCGCGACAGCTTGATATCGCAACATAAGGCAGCAACTTAAAGCTTCTTCTCACCTATCCTTCAATACTCTCCTGTGACTACTGATACCGAAGCCTCTCGAGCTTCTTTGAACAATTAAAATAATTATTTGTTTGTTAATGATCATAGAAACAGCTCTCTTAATGTTATTCACGGCTGCCCAATCGCAGTGTGTAGATTCCCGCGTACTAACTTTGCTTGCTTCACTAGTAAAAGAAAATCACAATAAATTAGCAATGAACTCTTCGATAATCGGGCTTAAATTAATTCGCAGTCGAGCACTAATCTGTAAACGTTGTAAGCTTGCAGTTGCGAATCAGCTGTTTTCATTCACTGCGTATTAATTTACTAGTTTGTGCGCAAATCTTGCGCACGCCTAGTTGCAACGCTCGCTAGATAACTACACGAACTACAAAGAGCATAGCACGGTAACTGTGAAATAAATTCAAATGTTTTCTGTAAGTCTGGAATTATTTAATATATGTAACAATATAAATTACGTTTAGAGAAAATGAACCAATGTCGAATGTTTTCTAAGCAGTGTACAGAGTAATACATGTTACTTGTCAACGCGAGAGGGTTAAAGAGATTATTTCGCAGAAACACATCTGTCAGCGTCGTTGGCTGTGAGCGAAAAATCATCATTTTGCGTGACCAGAAATTTGAGAAAGATTAAATAAGAAATAATTAAATAAGAAAACATTCGGGGTCTGAGTGGTGATCAAACCCGGGTTGTTTGCGTGGCAAGCGGGTGTTCTAGCATGCAGCCACGCCTGTGCTTTTGAACACAGTGCAAATAACTTTCTCTACTTGAAACTGCAGTGAAAGTAACTCTTGCTTTACAAACACACACGTCCTGTATACAGGCTTGTTAATAAACATGAAATATTGCCGCAATAATGCGTGGTACAGGCGTACACTGCCATTGGGTGTCAGGACAAGGGATTATCATAGCGACTTCATAGTTTTAAAGCCAGTCACCCACAACAAAGGGCACACACGCTACTTCACTTTTAAGGCCACGTAGTGGCAGATAGAAAGTTCAAAACAATGTCATACACTAAGTGTTTGAAGTACGCACTAAGAACAGAATATTGCTATCGTGTTCAAGTTTTAAAGGTGGAGCTTATAGGTCCCCCAGTTTCTTGGATCAACTTTGCATTTTTTTTTTATTATTCACGCCATGGAACTGTATACCATTCTTGTTCAGTAACTGGGCTTTTACACTAGCTGCGAGATAATCAGGGGAGCCTTCTGTGGACTATAAGTACTTATGCCTATTCCAATCAGGCGATGCATTACGTACGTTGTTACCATGTCCGCTTCCACTGGAGGCGCTGATGGCACGTGTATGGGGCTCGTGAACACGTCCTTGTAGGTTTTTTCGCCGAGTGATCCGAACTTTCCAGCCGACTCTTCAAACATCTGTAAGCCAAAATTACAGCTGTTGCACGATGCGAGTTCCTCTCCTATTGGCAAATTAGGGTCAATATTGTACTCTGAGATTATGTTAACTTCCGGCATCAACATTTGTACAGGTATTTTTTACGCCTAGAAGCAGTACTGTCATTCTGGTGGCAAATTGATGTGTTGAAGTGCGTTGTCTGAAGTGGGTCATTTTTTAGAGAGAGAAATAGAGAGAGTGGGAAAACTTTTTAATGCCGTACGTTTTGCAACGGCATTACAAGGGACCATGCGACCTTCTTTTTTGTTCTTTCATGACATGAGGGTATAAAATGAGGAAAACCTCGTGGTAGTTGTTCACTGAGCATGTGCATTTTATAATATTTTTTTCTGCGCAGTGCCCTGGTATGCAATAATCTCAGCATTGCTGCCTCACCTTCACACAGTCGGTCTCGCAAACCGTGCAAGTTCACCCCAGCAACAGTGAAGAAAAATGAAGTCCAGAAGGACTTACCTTGCGTCTATTCGCCCGGCCGTACGAACGAACAGAACCGGAATCGCTGTACGGGCTGCGATGCACTTTTGGTCGGCAGCACTTGCAGTAAAGCACCAGGAACAGCAAGACGAGGACGAAGATGGACGCTAGAACACCTGCTACTATCGAGGCCAGTCTCGACACGGACTCTTCTTGCGCTGGCTTCAGGTAAGCTGAAAGGAACAGCCACGCAGTCACGTACAGTCGACTACAACTTAAAGGAGGCTTGTGTCAATTTTGTGACTGCTTATTATTTAGTGGTAGTATGCATATTGTAATAAATTCTGAGACGAACGCGATAAGAATTATGAAAACCGGTGAACGAGAACTGATGTTATCAGTCTTCAATGTTGACGAAACTGATTTATAATATTGATGGAATTGCTATATATCATTTGTCACCGACATTCCCATCTCAGAAGTGGCAAAATAGTTGAGCTTATTCTTCCGATGAAGAAGGTACCGGGTTCGAGTAGGTTCGAGGCCGCCTGGTTCAAAGGCAGGGGCATCGAGTATCTGGACCTGGCTCAAATATCTAAGTGTACTCACATCGACCAGCCCCTTGGTTAAAGTAGCTACGAGCGAGTTTCGTGGTTATGCTACGGCAGTACGATCCCTAAATCATTCGGGTGAATGCGGGCACACCACCTCGTGGTCACTTGGCGGCATGTAACCGCCGGCCCTCACTGTTTCATGTTGCTGTAGTCTGTGTTCCCTATTTTCGTAAAAAAAAAAACACTTTTTTGAGAAAAAAAGGCAGCGCAGCATAATTTTATGCCTATAAGGCCCGCCTGCAATGTTGTTCTCCGCTTCTGTACAGTTTGTGTTTCAGTACACACACTCAGCAGCCCCGCCGCGGTGGTCTAGTGTCCAAGGTACTCGGCTGCTGACCCGCAAGTCACGGGATCAAATCCCGGCCGCGGCGGCTGCATTTTCGATGGAGGTGAAAATGCAGTAGGTCCGTGCACCCAGATTTGAGTGCACGTTAAAGAACCCCAGGTGGTCGACATTTCCGGAGCCCTCCACTACGGTGTCTCTCATAATCATATGGTGGTTTTGGGACATTAAATCTCACATATCAATCAATCAATCAATTAATCACACACTCGGCAGTCAAGTATCTGGATGACTTCCTGGTGTTTTATCAATCCCAGCTAGGCCATTTGAAACAACAACCTTTTGGTTATGAACCGAACACAATACGCACCGGGAAACCGACACAAAACGTGATGCGATGTTTAGAAAAGGCTGCTCACTTCTGCAGGTCACGATAAAAAAAGAGTAATAAAGAAAGAACTGACTTCAGCGTTTTATGTTTCTTGCCCACATCGTCTTGTGGCTTTGTCTTCTTTTTCTACACTGCCAGCATCGTGACTCCAACCAGCCCCCTCTCGGTTTGAAACTCAACGCGTTACCGACTCGGCTACTGCCCCGAACTTCATGAGGTG